AAAAAGAAAAGACATTTTAAAGCTGTCAAGATATGGAGTATAGTTATGAATATAAATTTTATATATATAAAAAAGAAGTGTTTCTTTTAATTATTGAAATTATTTCTTGGAAATATTATAAATTATTGCGGTTTATAAAAGTTATGTTAAAGATTAAATTATCCGCAAAAGTAATGAATTAAAATAAAACTATTAATTTGAATTTATTAGCTGTTTGCTGTTGTGCTTATCTTAAACATTGACACATCATTATAGACATATGTATATTGTTTGGAGTGCAGTAAATGTTTAAATAAATTTAAATTAGATAAAAAATAAAAAAAAATTCAATTAAATAGTTTTAACTCTTGTGGATATTAACAAATAAATAAAAGTTTAGTTTTTTTTTTGTTTTTATTCTTTATTTATATGACATTTATAACGAGTACCAGTGGCCTTGTTGTTGCAGTTTGCTATTGATCATGCTTAAGGCTTTACAGAGAATCTTCATTTTATTTTTTTCATTTTCATTTTCATTTGTTTTTTTTTTTTTGTATTTTTTATTAATGTATTGTGTGTCTTTGTCATGGTCTCGGTCTCTAATGTTGGTTTTTTTTTTTTTTTTTTTTTTTTTTTGGGTTTTGCGCATTTGAAGTCCATAAATGTCAGAGATGGCCAAGTATCTACGTGTATATATAGAAAAAAAAAACAAAAAAAAAAAACAAAAAGCAAAAAAAAACGTAAGGCTTCTCGATAATTTAAATTTGTTAATATCGAATTTTTGCACACAACTTCCCATGAAATTTTTAATTCATTTAAAAAAAAAAAAAAAAAAATCTAAAAAATGAGTTAATCAATTATCTCATATTCCTATCGTTTGTTTTCTTTTGCAACGCATTCAGCCATTTCAATGAATTCACTACTGCTTCTGCGCCGTTATATTGTGCTTTCTTTATAAGACAAATCGAAAATTCCTATTTACCAGCCCAAGTCTCTGTAATTGATTTATTGATTTTTAGATCATTGTCAAATGTCAGTTAAAATTGATTAAAATGTCAATTTAAGTGACATCAGCCGTGATTGTTTCTAGTAGAACGTTGATGATCAAAAATTTCTTCAAACAGAGTTCAATTCTTTTTTTTTTTTTTTTTTTTGCATTGTTGGGTGGAGATGGACTAAGTCAATGGATTTGTGGCTTATACGTCCAAGAGTTCAGTTCTTGCTGTCAAAGTTTTTCACTCTTTACTCTAGTTCGTTCCGACACTAGACCGGCTATTATTTATCTTGCCTAATCTTGCTATAGAAGACGATATTCTATATATACTTTCGTAGTCCACTCGTCATTGATCGGGTATATTTTAAGGAATTAACAGTCAAGTCGCATCTATTATTATGGAATACGTGAAAAATTCTAAGCTGTTGATTGTTTGAATTTATCAATTACTTGTAAGATGACGTATTCGTATTATTCAGAAAAAATTTCTAAACGATTTCTTTGAACTCTTGTGTACCAGAGCTGAATAACATCGATTTGTCAATTTATCGTTAGCAAGTTATTCCGTTAGTCGTTATTTGTAATTGTTCTCTAACAATTTACGTACGTCCACCTCAATCGTGCACCTCAATCATTTTTCAATATAAAAATTCCTTAACTTTTGGCTTCACCATAACTCACGTAGATCGTAGATTTTTTGTCTCTTATCGTAATTCATTCGTATTGCATTATGCTACTATGCTTAATTGTTTTTGAAGTTTCAATTAGTAACAGCCAGTCGGTTTTTTCGTTTTGTGCATCTCAGGGTGGCCTTCATAATGCATCATCGACCTCCTTAGTTACATATATATATATATCGTTAATCAGTCGCTTTATGTTCTCTCTTTATTATTGACAAAACGATTATGATTTGAAAATGTTCTATAGAAGAAAAGAAAAATTGAAATCTCAGTGTATGGCGGGTGTGCGTGCATGCGACGCAAAAATAAAGAAAGAGGAAAAGAACTGCATGCAGATGACATCAACCAGAGACAAAGTTGCCTTTGCCCAATTACGTACAAAAGTTTATTAGTGCGATTTATAAGACGTTCTTATCTATCTATCTATCTATCCATGATAACCTTTATACCCTATTAATGGAAAATATTATCAAATATTGACTACGAATTATTAATAGGTACAATAAAGTATTATGAACGCATATGTTTAACGTAGGTGTACATTGTACAGTACCACGATCGCGGTCTATAACTCAGACCTTTGTCTTTTGTTGTTAAGCTAGATGAAGCGATGCTAAACAAAAATTCCGCTCAAACCGAATTAAGTTATCTTCTCGTACGTTGTTGGCGGTGCATTTATTTGGCAGCCAAATTACAATAATTTCATCAAATTGGCTTAACGTAAGGGTGACCAGAGGAGGAAGTTTTATTGAGTTTTATTTTTTTTTTATTATTGCAAAACTTGAAAGTAATGAGTAATATATTTATTTATTTTATTTATTGAATTAGATTAGAATTAGGGAAAATTCCTAACCCCTGCCGTGTAAAATACATCACTACATCCATTTGTCCAATACAGTTTTTCACTCGTTTTTAGAATAACATACTAAAGTCTACTTATCATTTTCATCCGAAGGCATGCTTTTCATGAAAGCCAGCATATTAGAGGAATTCTTGTATGCGGTAGTATCCAAAAAAATAGGCCTACATGGTCTAAATTCGGTAAGGTTGACCTATATGTCAATTTACTATTATGAATAATTTTCACTATATAAAGAATCAGTTTTCATGGGAACGGTTATGTGAGAGAGGGTTTAAGAAGTTGCTCCTTCCGAATGAAATTTTTCACACCAGTTTATCATATCCAAATGCTATTGCAAAGCGAGTTTTGTCAAGAAATTTTGAAAGATGCATGGTTTAGGCTCTGCGTCGGTTGCGGTATAGGGTATATTAAGTTTGACCGGATGTATGTAAAACGCAGAATCGCTTAAGACGGACCTTTTATTATACCAATTAATTTAGAATTATTCCCTGTATCGATCTAAGCTTACCTGTCCATCTGTCCACCTGATTGTCTGATGTCTGCCCACGTAAATTTGTGTTCAAGCTAAAGGTCGCAATTTTTGAGATATTTTGGTGAAATTTTTTATAGTGACATGCTTTGATCCGAAGACGAACGGCATTGAAAATGCCACTCCCCTCATAACGTCCTTTTATGGAAAATCATTATGTGGAAAACATGTGAAAACATTATAATCGAGTTAAGCCGATTAAATTAGGACTTACTAACAATGTTGGCCCCACAACTCGAGTAGTGAGAACTTGATGTTAACTCGAGTAATTCATTCTTTATAAGGATGTGAAAAATGAGAATGAATGAAAAAGAGAGTAGAACAAGTCGACTTAACATAATCACATGAATAGTCAATCGAGAACAAATAATAATTAATTATGAAATTGTTTACATAAAACACGCAAAGGGGAAAAGAGTTCATAATTACTCCCACATTGCGACAACCGAAGTGGGATGAATTTTCTGAAACTCTTGCAGGAAATATCGCCTTTGATAAGTTTCGTTGAAAATCCCACTCCAAGAATTAAGCTTCTGCGTTCAGGAGTAGCTAAATGAATCGCAATTAAACGCTGTTCATAGCGTGGTAAGGTTCATTTTAGCTTCAACGTGGGAATCAGGAGAAATTGTTCCTGGATTCCTTCAATAAATGTAGAATGGATGTAATAATTGTAATTGGGGGACTAATGATAGACACATATATACATTTAACCGTTTTACCAAAGCCGCGTAGAGAGCTCTCGTAACGTAAAGATATTCAAAGTCATTCGAAAACTTTTTAATGAAACCCAGTGCAGATCTATCGTTGCATATAACAGATTTCTCTGGCCTTACTAGGATCAGTATAAATAGAATCTGTTCCGCATGCCACCAACGTTTGATGTTTGACGTTTTTCGGCTTCGGCTTCAGCTTTACGAGCTTGAGACGCAACCGAAGCTTAATTTAGTCTAAAAAATATATAAAGAATTTATTATAAGGTTACCATCGATTAATTTCAACCGTCAATGCATAAGAATATGAATGAGTAAAATGCATCTATAGATTTGGATTATCTAAAAGCTTAATATATTTCGAATTATCTAATAATTGTAGACACACTTGTGCGGTACGGGTCTGTGTGTATAGTATGTAGAAAGGAAAAAAAAATTTCAAAATTATAAAATGTGACAGGAAATTCAAACATCAGTTTTACATAATTAAACTTGAATCAGTCAAGCTTGAAAATTGTTACCAAATGACAACAACGGCAGCAACCAAAATAAAACAAAAAAAAAAAAAAAAAAAAACAGAAAAGAAAATACAAAAAATTATATATAATTTTTCTACAGTATAATAGCATAATGATTAGATAACCGAAAAACTGAAACCGAAAAAAAAAAAAAATATATATATATATATATATATATATATATATATATATATGTATACATATGTATATACATGTATATATAAATAAATGCAAGTTAAATACATAAATTTTACGGTATCAGAAAAGATCTCAAATTTCTTTGTAAAAAGAGGAAAAATTTAATGCAACATGAAGTGAAACAACATTTCAAATGATATGTTTATGCAGGCAGATAGACAGTTAATGATTTATGCATTAAAAGTAATGTTAAATATATATGATGATAAAAATTAAATAAATAAAATAAAGCATAAAATAACGATTATAATTTTCAATTGTCTGAGAATTTGATCTATATATGTAATCTTGTTCAACTAGAATGAGTAAATCAGGTAAAGCAAAGAATAGTAGAAAAATTTCAAATGATTTCGTGTTTTTTTTTTTTTTTAATTCTTTGGCAATATGATAAAGTAGGAAATTATGAGAGATCACTTATTATATAATGCAAATATAAATCATATTCTCGGATTGGGAAAATTAGTATAAATTTTTTAAAATCATTGAGTTATTTATTTATTTATTTATTTATTTTTTTTTTTTATTTACAGATGATTTGCTTAGCACGGAGGAGGATGCTTCCACTCAGGCCAATGATTTTATACCCAGATTTCATTTACCGGTTGTTAGGAAAATTCCTCGTGGATTCCTACCATTAACTGATTTAACTAACTCGCACAAAACGGATCTTTATTCGAAGCTGGGAGGAAATTTTTATACAACATCTCATAATGGGAATCCCGTATTGGACTTTGCTCGATATCATTACCCGCAAATAACAAAAATTCTAACACCGCCAGCGACTAATGCAAAAACCTATGATCGTGATGTGCTGGGCTCCGGAGATTTTGGTATATTGCGTGGCGGTACCTTCTATCCCGAAGATGAAATGCCTTATCATCCCGAAGCTAATGATGACTATTATTACAGCGATGCCAGTGATAGTCATACAACGACCACAAGTGGAGCAAGTTTTGTCCATAAATACACTCATCCCGATGAACAATTTCAGCAATTTCGTGATTTTGCTGATCTCAGCACACCAGCTATGGATGGTGAATATTCGCAATATGTCGTCATTTATGAAGCCAAACATAATAACGCTTCAGATAATCAAGGCGAACAGCAACTGCCGCAAGAATGCCATCATCATCAGCATCGTCAGCATCATCCTCAAAATATTTTCGAACAATTACAACAGATTGATGAAGAAAATGCCAAAAAATCGAAACAAAAGCTAAATAAGCGAAAATTGAAATTGATGAAAAAAGTTTTTTTTGGTAAAAAATACAATAAAGATACAAACTCGAAGAAATTCGAAGAAGCAGAGGATGTTGATCCTTTGTTGGCTTTAAGTTAATGTACAATAATAATAAAAATACGTGATTTTTAATTTAATAATTGTAAGGAATATATTTTATTTTTTTTTTTATAAAATGCATATAAGAAGACAACAAGAATAAAAAATACATTTCACGTGAAGCGAATCTTAAATACTTACAACTACCTTATGCGAGTTTATAAAATTCGCAACCTCTTTGCCTATTTATGCCGATTAGCTCTGTCAAAACTTTTTAATACCGAATATAGTTTTTTTTTCTTATTAATTTGCTGTTGAATTTCAAATCGGTACATATATATATAAATAAGTGTTAGAGGCATGACAACATTATATATATAGACATTAATTTTTTACGTTTGTCGCTTGAGATTCTTAGCAATTTGAGGAGTAGCCTAGTACTCGCAGTCTGTCGCATAGTCCAGCCAGATTTGTAGCGCGACTCTCAAGTCGGCATACCGGCAATCGGGTACCAGTTCGATAGATCATGTTTTAACTAGCCCCAGCTATAATAAGTGCGCATATATCTTCCACGGTACGACTGCACACTAGTCCTTTCTCCCTTTTTCTGGCCCTTGAACGTCATTACATTCACACACGTATAGGAAAAGCGGCCTGGAGATAAGGAAAAGCAAACTATATCATAGTTTTAAGCAAATTTTTTAATTTCTTCCTACTTTAAGCGAGAGGCATACGTACATAAATAAATGGATTCAAAAACTTAAACATTGTGGCTTAAGTTCGAACTCTAACGACGACGAGCAGATGTATACCTAGTAAGAGCCTAAACGACATATATGCTAAATCTGAGAACATTTACACAAACTTTCAGTTCTGCATCTTTAGGAAACTTTATTACAAAAGAACAGACAGATAGACTTGGGCTTAGTCGATCTTAAATTTGAAACTAAGACAAGCCCTCAGTGATACATATCAATGTTCTATGGTAAATTTCGTGATTCTCACATGTCCAATTAGAGATGGAGATGATTAAATCGATTTGCAAATTCAGTAGGTGGCAATGGACAGACACACGGATAGGCTGACTTGCTAAATTGGATTGGGGACTTACTTAAAGATTAAAAGGTTATATGTATTTTGCAGAGTCTCTAACATGTGACTCACTCATAAAATTAATAGTTTTAGTGGTGAGTATAAAAATTCATACCGAAAGCCGTTGCAAAGTCTTCCTTCCTTTCATCCAGGAATTTTTTTTTTTTCACTTCATTCTTCATTCTATTTTATAGAATTGGTTCGTTCACATGGAACAAAACATTTAGTTCAAATGATTGATTGTTGTTTTTTGTCGTTCGCTTTCGTCTACAAATTTTTCTGCTTCTTCTTATTGATTGTATTATTAAAATTGCCATTCTACTCATTTGTTTTTTGCCTTTTTTTTCGTCCGAAAATGTGATAGACACACACACACACACACACACATGCAATTTTAATTAAAATGATTTCGTTTATGGAAAAGCTTAGCTTAGCTTAGCTTAGCTTAGCTTAGCTTAGGAAGATCGCTTATTAATGAACTTCTGGGCTTAATTGTCTGAAATCATCAACGACCGGAGTACATCATTGCGCCCGTTAAATATTGAACTTGCTCTGAATCGCCTTTCAGGTAGTTTAATACAAATTTTAACTGAAATCTCGTGCAGGCGTGTACTACTTGTATTTGTTTAGTTTTTGTTATCGTATATCTGCTATTCGATTATGTGTTGTCCAACTATAATAAATCTTTTACCAAGCATTTGATGAAATTAAAATCATATTTTAGAACAAGTGAGCGGTTTGTTTTTTTTTTTTTTTTTTTTTTTTTTTTTTTTTTTTTTTGTTTAATCTCACTTTCTTAGTTTTATTCAACTTATGCTTTTATCAAAGCAGGAAATGTTAGAAAAATCTTTTAAGCCCACCATATGCTGTTATTTCATTTCATATCACTTGTCAGTGGCCTTTACATAATAATTAAAAATACATTAACATGTCTACAAGAATGTGAAAAGTATATGACAACCAACCCTGAAATTAAATGCTATATTAATTATGGTAAAATGTAAAATAAAATAAATAAAAGAAAGGAAAAAAAATAACTAAAAAAATTATATTAATATAAATCAATTCAGCGATTTTTCAATCTTAACACCTACAGTACAAAGCAACGCACTATCGTTGCTATACAAAATGGTTGAATTACCTATAACGGTATATTATATTCCAGGAAGTCTTCTAACTTATGCTATGCATTAAATAGAATGTTAAATTTCACCTTAGTCTCAAATGAATACCAATTAATCATTATTATAATATTATATATATATGTATGGCCTTATATATATATGGCAGCTAATTAAGCACAAAAATAGAACATACGCGTTACATACATTAAAGTTTAATTGTCATTTAAATGATCGGTTAGTTATGGAATAAAGTTTTAATATGTATTTAATAAACAATTAAAATTAATTGCGTCTATGTGCACATTGTTTTTTATGCTTGGAACTACTTAATTAATTAATTTAAAAAAAAAAAAAAAAACAAGTTAACTGAAAATAATATGAAATATTTTGATGCTCTCTGGACCCACTTGATATATAATAAAGGAGTCTGCCATCCCGCAAAAGCTAATTTGCATTAAAAACAAATCACAATCGGAACAAAGAGCTCGGTGTTCTTTTCTATAAAAAAAACTGATGCTACAAAACGAAGCAATTAAAGAAAAAATACGAGAATTGCAAAAATCGAAGGAATGATGTATGGCGGTATGTTTTAGACCTTTCCCTATCTACATTTCCATGGTCTAGTATTGCCGTCATCCTATCTTAGGCAAAAATCTTTTTATCCAACAACAACAACAACAAGAAATCATAGCCAATTTATTCAATTTTTTCACTTTTATTTCAATTGCCAGAGCCATCTACCGTATGCTTATAGGGATATATGATTTAATACGGATTCAACTACAGCTTTGCACATAATCCGACGCCTAACTGCTTATCATTGCTTGAAATTTATTATTTGCAAAAAGTAATTGAATTTTATTTTACGCCAAGAGTGTGTAAGTAAAGGTATTTATTGAAGTTGATATCCTTTCCCTTGTTTTTAGTTATAAACGAACCTTATGATGGAATTAATGGATTTTGAATTCAATATAAGAAAAATAAAAGTAAAAAGAAACCAGAGAAAGTTGCAAAATTGTTTTCGAAAGTTCAAGAGATAATCACATAGACAGATATGAAGGTTTTTTTCATTAAGTGTGGTTCTTATTAAAATTTAAAAAAAAAAAAAAAAAAAAATCCATTTTGAAGCTTAAACATTTCAGTTTTCTTCTGAACCAAATGTAATTGAAAAGTTCATCACCCCTTTGAATCCATTGAATCATTGTGTCCAGCGTTAGTTGCGCTATGCCTGCGATAACATGACGAACGTTCGCCTTCAAATATTGCAAAGTCTGCGTCTTGTCAGGGAAGAGCTGGGCATCGATGTAATTGAAAATAAAAGGACCACGAACAAGTAAAGGACTGAGTTAACATTTTGATACAACCTTTTAATGACTTCTATACGTTCAAGAATCGTAAGTCGCCGCATAATGAGGCTGCCAACTATAATGGATATATATATATATATATTTGAAACTGGAAATTAGAATTGTTGAACTATAGTTCATCTTGAATGATGAGGTATATAGTTTAATTTATATATGTGTACCGTGGAGATGGTCTAAAGAATTCAATAAACCATATGCGACCAAGTGCTTGTATACATCTTTTGATGCAAACACTTTTGGTTCAACACTTAAATACTCGCCTGTGGTGTGACTTCTTGTTTGGTAATTGATGCCATGTTGATTGTAACGTGTCTGTTAAATGTCTTTCGTCTGTCTGTCCATCTGCAATGCTAAATGTACTAAAAGGGGGATATTTACTCACTCACTCACTTTATTGGAAGATATTGATACTTATATCCTTGAAAGTGTTCCAAGACGGTTTGTACTCTTCAAGCCGTTCAATCCGTTTCGAGTAATACGTGGAAAGTTCAAAGATTACTACCACTTAACTGTATTTTTTTTTTTTTTCGATTTTATCCGCTAATAAGACTAAAAAGCATTATATTACGTAGCTAACTACTGAAAATTTTCAAACTTTGTACAAAAACACAGATAAATCGGGTCATAAGAATTTTTTTGTTTGTATTTAATTTCTTTCTCGTTTATTATTAGTAGTATAAAAAAGCACACATATATAGTCAACCGCATATATATTTCTTATCTATCTTTAATTGGTTTGTTTAGTTGGATTCTGTTGTATATTGTATATATTTATTCTATGCATCAATGACCTCTCTTCGGTGATTAAGTTCGACCATATGCTGTTGTACGTTGATGATGTAAAATCGTTTTCCCAATTGAACATGGAATCGCACTCTTGTCCCCTTCAATCGGATCTAGACAACTTGGTTGTGCGGTATTTAGTAAATTTTATGAAATTAAATCTAAAAATATGTAAAAAGTTTTCCTTCTATAGACAGACTTCATTTTCGACTATGTATTTCATTAATTCACGCATCTTGAAATCTATGACATCATTAATTGTTTTATGGGCATCGTTTAATCAAAATTGAGCTATCTATAAATGCGAATAGGTCTGTAACTTGGCTTTATTAAAGGGTGGTCCAGAGATCTTGACGCTAATCGTCTGCTCTTATTAAACGAAAACCGAACTTAAATTCTTAAAAAAATTTCGATTTGTTTACGAGTTGATAACTTAACTGTTTGTAGACATTTGCATGCTATCGAAAGATCCCCAAGGCGGAAAAATAGCTATCAAATGGATTGAGGGAAAGTTCCATTGCTTCCCAGGCAACGAAAGAAGAGATTTCTGTGGCGTATTGTGACTGACGATGAAAAGTGGATCTACTATGACAATTCCAAGCGCAAATAGTCGAAGATTAGACCTGGAGCACCATCCACATCGATAACGAAGCGGAAAATTTGATGATGATAAAGTTTGGCTATGTTTATGGCGGGATCAGCAA